CCATTAAACATTAATCACAAAGTGCCGTGCTCGGGGCGAAGCAGCTAACATTAATTGACGGCTGACATGACTTTGAGGCAGCAGCAATACCATCTCTGATATAGAGTGTACGAGGGCTCATCAGACAGCAGTTCAGTGATGATTGGATCAAACACTTAGGAGGTCGCTGTCATCTCCAGTTAAGTTGAACACATATGCAGCTTGATGCTTGATGTCAGCCACTGTCTTTTTTTATTTAAATACCTATAGGGGACTGTAGAGTTTTGGTTTTAAGACGTGAAGTTGGAGCTTTGATTCTGGAATGATTCCTCTAGGGCTATATGGTACCATGGAAATGGGTATTGAATCCAAAAGTGACACAAAATGTGTACAGAAATGTTGGTGTTATCGACCTGTTTATACTTTCCTTTCTTTATGATTTGTTGTCTAAAGATTAGTTTTGACTTTTCAAAGAAACATATTTGTTGTGCAGTTGCTCGTAGTTTATTTACTGTAACTTTGACATTAGTTAGTCATATATGGGCTGGTTGCCTACAGAACTACCTTTACTCACTGAGAAGCAAAGATTCCCTGGGTGTCATAAGTCTTTGAAGTCTTAATGAACAAGCCCATCAGGGTAATACCTTAGGATGAAAAATATATACATTACATTGCATTTAGCTGACGCTTTTATCCAAAGCGACTTACAATAAGTACATTCGACCAAGAAGATACAAACTTGAAGAAAACAGAATCATATAAGTACATCAGCTTTCATAGAGCAAAAACATTTTAAGTGCTACTCAACTGGCTTTAGAAAAGCCAGTCCTTTATTAGTATATAAGTTCTTTGTTAATAGTTCTATCGCTTGAAGTGGAGTCGAAAAGAGATGAGTTTTCAGTTTGCCCCGGAAGGTGTGTAAGCTATCTGCCGTCCTGATGTCAATGGGGAGCTCATTCCACCATCTTGGAGCCAGGACAGCAAACCCACATGTTTTTGCTGATGGGAACTTGGGTCCCCCTCGCAGCGAGGGTGCAGCGAGTCGTTTGGCTGATGCAGAACGGAGTGCACGTGCTGGGGTGTATGGTTTAACCATGTCCTGGATGTAGGAAGGGCCAGAACCATTCACAGCATGGTACACAAGTACCAGTGTCTTGAAGTGGATTCTAGCAGTTACCGGAAGCCAGTGGAGGGAGCGGAGGAGCAGAGTGGTGTGGGAACATGTTGGATATACTCCTTTTATTTCATTCATTTCAGGTACAATGTAGACCTGACACTCTTTCACTTCCTTGATTATGTCATCGTGTACTTCAGAATAGTTTAATTAGCTGCAACCATGCACACCACATTCATTGAGTTAGTTACAATACATAATCTCCATCATTTAAAACTAGAGTCAATACTGCATTGAGCTTGGAATGAAACATTCTCTCTTGTGTGTTGCATAGTAAATTACTGTATGATCTGCATACATTTATGTGGACTTCTCAAATCAAGGGCAAATCATTCATTTATAGACTAAATAGGATTGGCATTTCCTAACAATATTTTGGCCACTGATGAGTACTCTGAGCAGAGGTCGCGTTAACCGAATATTTTCCGTCTATGACGAAAAATTTTTAACAATGACGGAAAAATCTGAAAGCTGTGTCCGTCATTTTGACAGATTAGAACAAACTCAGAACAGCGCCAAAGTTTCCCCGCAGTGAGGCTCCGGTATTATGCCTTGTTGTTATGCATGCCCGTCCAAAAGTAAATTATATCGTTTAGCTTGCTCTCCCCCCCGTGCAGAGTTGTGTACAGGCCGACGGGTAATAACGGATTTTGACGGAAATGTTACGATCCTTTCCGTCAAAATGACGGGCAGCGAAAAAGTCTAGCGCCACCTCTGACTCTGAGTCTGGGTCTTGCTCTGTCCTTGACCTAATTGGTATGACCTGACCTTGGGGCTGGTTTTTTGGGGGAACTTATTGACCTGCCTCTTATCTAAGATGTCTTTAAACAAAAAGATAAACTACACTATTTCAATCTACACTTTTTTTTTACCTTAAAAGTTGTACACATGCCTTTCCCTAAAATCAATTCTAAATGAAATAGTCTTCAATCATCACATGGGATCTAACATGAACCATACAGGTAGTGATGTTACGTATTGCGCCGAGGCTTCGGAGCGTGTGTCGAGTAATCCCCGAAGCTTTTTGTGAAGCATGTATCGTTTTGGGCCAGTGACGTCACCGATGACAAACGAAGCCTCGCTGCCCGTCGATACCACGTGACTGCTTCAGGAAGTGCATATTACCCATGCATGTATAATAAGAACGATATTATCCTTCCTGTACCCGGGCCCGGTGACACGATGGAATTAAGAGAGCTCAGACCCTCACTTATATAGAGGTCGGAACATGTCATAATGTATAAATAAATAAAAGCATAAATAAAAGTAGGAATAAAAACATCAATAAATACAGGAATAAATATGATGCAGTGCTTTCAGATAGATTCAGTGTGTGTGCTGTGGCTCAGCTGGAAAGCAGTTGACTCACGACCGCAGGGTCCCTGGTTCAATGACTGGTCAATACGTCTTTTGTTTTGTTTATAAAAGCTACAGCTAAATGAGATAATGTAGTTAATAAATGTATCCTTTGATATGGTTTAGCCTTTCTCAGGCTACAACGTGGTTAAGTTTATATTATTGAGGAATACAAATCCCTCTTTGCAATGTTTACCAGCCTCTTTAGGCGTTTCAATCACAATCATTTATTAAATAAATGCAATATTGTTAACATGAAAATATGATTTTATGTTCGTTAAACTTACACTTATTCTAAGGCTTTACTCATTGGGAACTCGGTATGAGATAGAGCACACTGTTGAGATGTCCAATCTGCCTGTTTTACACACTTTGACCAACAGGGGGGTTTGTGTTCAGATGAATCCCATGATGATTGGCTGGAAAGCTTCAAAGCTTCATAAGGCTTCATCTCGCCATCACTGTATCATCATTGCAAGAGTAGCAGGGAGAGTTCTAATGTGTTAATAAAATATAACTTACTGTCTGAGTCAAAAACAGGCCGGCAACTGAATTTTATCCAACACAAACTAGGAATACTGAACAAAGAAAATGTAAAAACTAAAGAGGATCATTAGGCACAAGATTGTTCAATTCACAGCACAACAATCAACAAAGGAACTAGGCTAATGTGAACAGTGACTAGGGATGGGTATCGTCTGAAATGAATCGATTCCGATTCTGCTTATCGATTCCGGTTCTTATCGATTCCCTGTTTCAATTTCAAAATTATAAAAGAAAAAGGTCAAACGTTTAGATAACAAAAATACCTTTACTCTTTTAAGCTTTAACTGACATTTTTCCAAATGAAAAAATACATGCAATACAAATGTATTACACAATAGCTGTCCTTTATTTTAACTGAGCCATTCCTGTGGCAAGCTATTCACTTTCCACAGGCATTACACTGTGCCTTGTCTTTTGCTTTTTTAGTGTAGTGGAGCCTCACTTTAGAGCGTTTACCGCGATCCATCTTTGGTGTTATGAAGTGACTGAGCTCGTGAACTGTCTACGGGAGGGCGGGGGGAGCTGTGGACCTCTGTCGCCTGTCAGCGCAACTTACATGATGCCGTTTTAAAAAATTAAGGGCGCGTACTGAGCCGGCCGTCAACGGCCCGCTGACGACCGGCCGTTCTGTGATTCTCCAGAACACACAGATGGCCAGTCCGCCCTTGTCACCGGTCGCCGCGGCGCAGACGGACCCGGTGGAATACAGGGTCTACTGCATTTAGGAACCGTTAAGCAGATCCAAAATCGTGTATTTTGTATGGGTACCCGTACCCAGCATTTTCTTATCGGTTCTTATCTGGAACCGAGTTTCGGTTCCCAACCCTAACAGTGAGTGACTAATGGGGGAGTGGGAGCAGGTGTGCAGGAGGTCAGGTGACTGCAGAGCTAACGAGGGACAGGTGGGTAACCCCCCCCCCCCCAATCATAGTACCACTGTTAATTGAAACTAAGAGGTTAATGTTGATCCAGGCTCTCAATTCGTGGTCAGATAGAGGGGCCTAAAGTTGACCAGGACTCCAGAGACTCTCCAGAGACAGTGAGCGGCTGGTCGCTGTCTTTCATCATTCCCCCAGCCTCCCCTTTTTTGGTCTCAATTGCTCTCCTCCATCTCTTGCTTTGACTGAGGAGGGTCTCTTAGTATCTTCATGACCTCCTGTGTGGGGGGGAGAAGAGGTCATCATCTTGTTCGTCCCCGTCTCTTGGTTCCTCTAGCTGGCAGTCCTTGTGTGCATTCATCACACAACTCACTCCCACCAAAACTCAGAGTAAGTGGGGTCTCTGTGAGAATGGCAGGGAGGTGGGGCCGGGAGGGAGAGCACATTTAGTGTTGTTATTTTGAGCAACCGTGTCGAAGCGTAGGATGAGTTTTTAGGTAACCTGAGGGTAGCTTTATCAGAGGTGAAGTCATGTGTGTTTATTTGTGTGCAGGTGACTTCTACTCATGCTATTACAGGCTGATATCATTGGGTAGCTGTAGAGTGATCCGTACTATGGATTGCCAATAATGCAATCAACACTCACCTTAACAACAGTGATAAATATGTGTTTTGCTAATCGACACCACGCAGCTTTTTCTGTCTCAAACTACTGCCGAGGATTCAGCCCTCTGCAGGAATAGGAGCAACATATTTTATCTTTAAACACACTTTCTGACAGTCTCATTTGCAGCAGCACTGGGTAATTACAAGTACCCTATATTGCAGACAACTCGTGTGACTGAAGTTAAATTGCTCTCTCTTTTTTTATCATTATCTTGTTGTCAGACTAGCAGCACATTCAGCTCTTCTTAGAACTGTCCGCTCTCTATTGGGATTCAGCTGACTGCTAACTTTATCATTCGCCACAGGGCTCGGGCAAATTGCTAATCAAAGTGAAACACGGAAAGCAATATTAACTGCTGTTCTTGCTCATTGCCATGTCCTCTTCTCTTCCCTCTCTCCAGACAGTGAGATTGTTCCTCCTGACTGCCTACGCCCACGCTCCTTCACCACGGTGCGCTCGTCCTCTCTCCGCCGAGAAGCAGACGACTCCCGCCTGTCCGTCAGCCTGTGTGACCTCAACCTTCAGCAGGAGGACGGACGCAACGCCCACAATCACTCCCACCGTCACACCCTCCACCTGGCCTCAGCCTCCACATCCTCCACCTGCCCCATACCCCAGAACTCCCTCAACTCCCAGCAGTCCTCTCTGCTGCCGTCCGCCCTGGAGAGCGACCTCCACTTCCACCAGCTGCGTGGCGCCCACATTAAGACGCTGGACGAGCAGACGGTGGCGCGATCCGAGCACGCACGAGAGGAGCGCACCCTCGTCTTCACCAACCGGCCCCTGCGCACCGGAGAAACCGTCTTCATCAAAGTCACCAAGTCCAGCCCTGCACGTTCGGGGTCTTTGTCCTACGGCGTGACTTCCTGCGACCCGGCGGTGCTGCGGCCCAGCGACTTGCCCTACAACCCCGAGGCTCTGGTGGACAGGAAGGAGTTCTGGGCGGTATGTCGGGTGCCCACGCCCCTCCAAAGCAGTGACATCCTGGGCTTCTTGGTCAACCAGGAAGGGGAGGTCATCCTCAGCCACAACGGCACCAATGTGGGCATGCAGGTGTGTGTGGACAACTCCCGCCCACTCTGGATGTTCTTTGGTCTCCATGGGGCTGTGACTCAGCTGAGGATTCTGGGTAAGCAAGCATCACATGATACAAATTAGATACTAAACTAGGGCTGCAGTCGAATAGTCCATTTAGCTTAGGAACCTTCCTAACGGAGTGAAATGACCCGGAAGTCCCTCAGTGGCAGCCAGGATAAGTGCCGTTCAAATTCTCTAAATTAAAGGAAAGGAGGTTTCAAACTTCCTTTATAACCTCCTTTAGCTTAGGAACCACTGGACGTCCCTTGACATTACATTACATTACATTACATTGCATTTAGCTTTTATCCAAAGCGACTTACAATAAGTGCGTTCGTCCAACAAAATACAACTTGAAGAAAACAGAATCATATAAGTACATCAGGTTTCATAGAGCAAAAACATTTCAAGTGCTACTCAACTGGCTTTAGAAAAACCAGTCCTTTATTAGTATAAAAGTGCTTCGTTAATAGTTCTATCGCTCGAAGTGGAGTCGAAAGAGATGAAAGGAGAGGAGAAAATGCTGCCCCACAATGCCTTGCGGCCGCAGCATTTACGTCACACAACAGTCGGCCGTATATACTGATGAGAAACAGTATAATAGGGGACCATTAAAATATGATATAGTTTTGGATTGTGGGGGACAGTAAAAAATGGTCAATATCGATACAGAAGAGGCTAAGATATCCAGACATTTAGTCCCTTTTATAAATAAAGGACAGAGTTACACACTCCCCAGAATGCAACCACTAGCTTGTGTTTGCTATACCCTCTCTGCCTGATAAATGCCTTGCATCTGTTAAACTCCCTTAGTGGCTTTCTAACTGTTAGTTTATTCTGTTCTAAAGCCTGTCAGAAAAATGTGCCAGATATTGGATTTTAAACACACAAATATTGATCGTGAGCTTTTACAAATCCAAGATCAGTCAGGCCATCTGTTGTTACCAAGCCCAAGCTAACATAACCCTAAAGACATCATCATGGGTTATTTTCTCAGACTTTAGAAAGCTCCTCCAGAGTCACAGAAAACATTATACAATCTCCTTGGCTATGTGGTATTCTTTCGGAGAAGAAAACATTTAGACTTTAACACACTAAGGCTGGTTAAAACGACCCAGACAGCCCATCTATTTCACAAGGGGTGTTTACCACCAGAGACTCAACTTTTGTATACATCCATAATCCGGCATCTGCGTTGCTCATCTTGACTAGTTGACTGGACCCATAACATTATTATTATTTGTAGTTTATTTCTACGTAGCATAAAGGTGCAAACCCCGCATTTTGTTTGAAATACTTTGTCTACAATGAACATTTAACCTTGAATATTCCTGCCTGTAATAGAACAACTTAATTATTTTGTTGACTTTGAGACAGAGGTAGCACAAAGTCAGCCCACCCCCCTAAATTGGAGGCAGGTGTATAAACAGACGAATAAATGACCCCAAAGTAGAGTAGCATTGAAGAGATGTTTACATTCTACTTACAGTATAATGCTTAATAGGGAATAAAGTAAAGTTTTTACTTGAATGTTGCAAAGCAGCAAACAGAGATAAAGTCAGTTGGAGCAGTATCATGATGATAAATGTCCGACACAGATTAAGTACAGTGAAACTCTTGTAGTGTTAACTTCCTTTGATATACCCCTTCTGTCCTTAAATGAGTAATGAGCCCCTTTTAGTTCCTTAACCACATGTTTTATCGTGTGATTAATTCCTCTTCAAATAGTGATTTATTGTGAATATAATCATCCATTCAGCCAAGGATGGATGGGGTCAGGAACCAACAGATCAGGGTATTGATCTTTATTTGGCTGGTGAACTTTACTTACTTTGCTTCAATGAAATGTTTTTTGCTAAGTGTTGATTGTTTTAAAAGAATGCCAATTGAGGCCAACCATGTCTTCCCGTTTAGAAAATACATCCACGGTCATGGACAGGACAAAGGGGTCAAGAGGTTGTTACTTTGTTTGTCTCAGTATTTACCGCAGGTGTCTTGAGACAGGAAGCGTCTACGCACATTAGTAGAGAGAAGTAAATGCTCATGAGATGAAAAACAGGAAACAGAGGTGGAGAGGCTGCGGGAGGGAGGGGGGGCTGTGACCCGCACACAGCAGGGACAACAAGATGTATCTGCGGGGGGGACACTTTGCCTGTCAGTGGTGGGCCGTGATGCTTCATGCATGCCCTGCCAAGCATATTGCCTCCCAACCAGGTGCAGGCAGCTGTTGGTGATCCTGCTATGTTCATGTGTGCCTTTCTGAATGTCAATTGTTACGTTACATTACTGTCATTAAACTTGAATCCAAGGCGATTTACATAATCTTCAAGTAGAAAGGCCTACGGGAGCAATATGGGGTTAAGGACCATTTGACATGTTGACTGGTGATTGAACCTCTGAACCACTGATTGGTAGATGCCCATTTATCCCCCGCATCTGCCTGAGAAAGTCTGTAGAATCCTTTGTTATTGGCTGTTTTGTATGCACTGTTTTACACATGCAAAAATATTCTTGAATTTCTTAACATTTCTTTTATATTCAGTGACAGCAAAGGGTTGGCAGTAAGGCAGTATCTTTGTCAGCTCTATAATGCAAACTGGCGTGCAACAGTGAATGCCGTCTTCTATTAATGCAGCTCTTAAGGCACACAACAGCTCCGGCCTTTTAAAGATGTCACAAGTGTTTGTCTGCGGAGGAAGAGGCACCTATAAATACATCCTGTGATTCTCCAGTGACAGCGGTGGAAAAGGAAGCGGAGGTTAAAATAGGTTAGAAAGGAACAACCTTAGCTTTAACTAGACGTGCAGGAGAGAGAGAGAAACACTTAAGATAAAGTAATTACACTTTATCTTGTTGCAGGTCTTGCAACATAGTGTGCAAGGATTTTAAACATGGCCCTTTGAATGTTAAACAAGTTAATTCACTACGTTCATTTTGGGCTAATGTTACGCTATGTTAGCTTGACCCACTTAGCATCCACTAAGAGTAAAGTGACCATGCAGCCACCTCTATAAAAATGACAGTTAGCTTTAATGTACACCTTAAATGTGCAACTCAGCAATTCAGCTTTTAAGTGTTTTCTCACCTAAACATCTTTTCATTTGCAAAGCTAATGTCTCGGTGCCACCGTTATCACACAGAGAGATCTCTTTTACCTTACTGTTAAATTAGATTTTGGCTTGGCAGCCGTGCATAACAGACCTCCTGGTTTGTCTCTGTACATTTCTAACAATCATTACTGAAACCAAAGAGCCTTGGCAGCACACCAGCGCCGGAATAGCAGAACAATGAAAGCGATCTGAGGCACATCTTCCTTATCAGAGCAAAATCTTGGAATTCCCACTGAGGTGTGAATCATCTTCACTTTCCGGCTGCTTTGAATTAGGAAGCATCTCTTATCTCGCCTTTGCAGCTCTTGATCTATTGCTTTGTGTTGACTGGAGAGCAATTTAGCTTTCAGTTGAGCTGAATTGGAGCCATGCCTCAGACTTGGAGTGAGGGATGTTAAACTTGAAGGCTCACTCTCCCAGTGGGCTTCTGCTTTTAGGATGGCAAGATAAAGCGCTCATCACAGAGGCCTCTCACTTCAAACAAAGCATGAAGTGAGGGGGCTTTGTAATAGGAACAGGCAAAGTGAACATCAGGTCAGCCAAGAGTGCTGGGACAGGGTAATGATATTGATACTTCATTATTAATACCTACTTCATCATGGTGAATTAAAATGTCTGGCTTATTGCTTGAATCTATTTGAAGAAAAGTATTCTGTATGATCTGTGGACTGAGGAGAACAGGGTGGATAAACAACCTGTATTACACACAAGGCCATTGTTGTGTCTGGTTCTAAACCAAAAGTCACCATTTACTTTTTTAAATGTGCTAGAATGACATTACAGAAACAAATATTTCTTCTTATGTTTTTATTAACAATTTATTATATTTTATTTTATCGCACTGGACATTTTACTTTATCAAATCAAAAGTGGTATTGCAGTTTACTTGTATTGGAACGTAGTTTTAAAGAAGACATTTAGCTAAACCAAAAACGCCAAAGTATATTGTCATGCTCAATGTTGTTTTTATTTTTGACAGAATTTAAGATTAGTCTTTCTAAAAGGTAATTCCTCAGCCTTGGATGTGGTTTGAGCAGAATGCTAAGTGAACATTAGCTGACCTTTAGCTATGATGAGAGTGCCAAACACACAATATACTGTGTGTCAGTGTTATAATCATACACACATACAAACAGGCAGAATGTGTGTTTCTTAAACTCTCCATGCATGTGACCTACAGTACAGTTTAACCCTGCGACACAGCAGCTAATAGACTGCATGGCACAGTTTTGTTAGCCCATATCCAAATATCTCCTATTAGAGTGGTTGTAGCACAGAAAGCTGAAACCAGTGCGGCTGAACTTTGGGACAGAGATATTGAAGGGACCTTGTGCCTCGTTGCGTAGAAATAGGACACCCATCCAGTGACCCACTTCGCATGTATTATAGATTCTATTAAAATGTCAGCGCGCTCATGCTGAAGTGAAACGTCGCACCACCCACATCCTTATACACTGCAGCTGCCACGCTCCTCTCTCCTCTTCCCACCTTCTGCCGTCTTGGCTGGTGTCTTCTCTTTCAAATGTTCCTGTTTTTACTCAGCATTACGGTCGTTTATGTACAATATGTCTTAGTCGATTATCACACATGTATCCCTGCAAAAATACATATTGGAATCCCGCACTAACAGGCTCACTAGACATCTATAATCGAGCCTAAGGGGCAGCATATGACCTGATCATTTAGTGTTGTGTGCTATTCTCAACATTTTCAAATATTCTCATAACTTTCTGCTATGTGTGGATACATGCACGCAGACACATTTAAAAAATGTAATTTAGATATTTATGTAAAGCCAAAAATTGAAATACTTATCAGCTTTCCCATTTTGTATTAGTCAATTGAAAACAATGTAAATTGCATTATTATTAATGGACTAACATTACTTAGAAGTTTACCTTAGCTAATACTTTATGATACATTTATATTTAGTGGCTCCTTTCCTTTATTGCCTTATCTTTGACTTATAATACAGAGTTAGTACCACTCTTACATCCCTAAATAGATTCTGCAGGTGTTTCAGCCTGAGAGGTGAAACCCGGATGAAACTCACTAATCCTTGTAAAGCATAGTGCAATATGAATGTTCCTGATTCAATCATCACAACATGTGATTCTGAAATGTGAAAGAAAGAAACATTCAGAAACATTTTCCAAACCAACAACACATATATTTCTATTTATTTAACTCCCTCTATCATTTTCAGAAAGCTGCATGCATGTCATGTGTACACATGTTCATACAGCACACTCTCCTCTATACACATGTCGAAGAGATAAACAACTCAGGGATGAATGGCCTTGTCCTCCCTCCTAAACAGCCCTTTTGTCTCTGCAGATAGTATCTCCGCCGTATACAGAAGGAGACTTTTAACATTTAATGCAGCATGGTAAGCCATGACCTTAAACTAGTTCCCTCAGAGCCGCTTTCCTCTCATCCACTCATCCACTCTAAACACACATACAAAGAGCCCAGCTAAGTGCACATTTGAGCTGATGGCACTTCAGAGCAAGAAATCCTCTGCAATCAGATGGAGAGCCAGCTGTTTCGAAACGATTTGTGATTGGGGATAGTGTTTCATCAATTTAAATGTAAACTATTTTCAAGAGAGATTTTGCTCCTCTTCTTCTGTTCGTGCTATACAGTGGTGCAGGGATGGCGCATCTTTGTTGTCCGACGGGAAGTTAGAATCAGAAGGGGTCCGTCAACAAGGCCACAGGATTGTTCCACATATTAACACAACACTAGGGACTTTTGAAGCGTAAATGCAATCGGCAGTAGTTGAAAGCATGTTGCATGACTTCATGTAAACACCGCCAAGCTAAAGGCTGCTAATATTTAGCATGATGCTGTTTAGTAGTTTCATTTAGTAACTTGTTAGCAACCGCGGTTTTAATGATACGTCTAAGATATAAAATAAATTCTCCCAAAAATATTTACCACCACTTCTATGATTCCTGAAGTGTTATGCAGTCACCACAGGTAAAATATGTGTATATATATATATATATATATATATATATATGACACATAGAAGCTTTGGACATTCACCAGTGGGGTAGATACTGAAGTATTGTATGTAATAGAACAGACGTGAACATCTCTTCAACTTGTGATGTGGCTGAGGTAAAGTGTCAGTGGGGGTCCCGGGGCTTGTTGATGAGGCCGGTAGCGGAGGGGAAGAAACTGTTCAGGTGAGAGATGAGATGCCTCATTTATTAACAGGCCTGGAAGATGGCCATTTAACCCCTCCCCTCACGTTGTATTTAAGAAACTACCCAAACATGTGCCTCACCCCAATACCTGAATGCTATCAAATGTGATCCTCATACACGCTATGTCCCTAACCCGCGCCTTCCACAGTCCTGCTTCATCCTCAGCCACCTCCCTCATCACATACTCTGCATACCTCCCCAGCCTTCTCCATAGATGTACTGGTGTGTGCTAAATATGGATGGATGGTCGTGAGCTGCAGAGATGTGTCTACAGAGGCAGCCTGTCGCTCACAGCTGTTCACACAGGTCCCTTGGGAACAGGCTAGATCAGGGCTGGGCACCACGGATCCTGTCTCAGCTGCCCGCCTGCCATGGAGGATTACCAGGGAGGGAGGGACAGAGTGAGGGGGAGGGATGAGGGGCGTGGGGAGGATTCAGAGGGGAACCACTCATGCTCCAGGGCTGCAGGGTGATCAGGCTTGAGTAAGCCGATGATTGGTGAAACGTGGCGACTGCAGTAACACCTTGAAGGGTTGGCATGGTGATTTACTGATCAACACACAAAGCAGGATGGTTTCATCTGGAGCCTTTGTATTGTTAGGGTTAGGGTCACAAGTTGTACGAGTGATTGTTGGGTCCTTCTGTGAAAGTTGGGGGCTGTATATCCAACCATTTGCATTGCCTTCCCAAACAATCCTACAATCATGCCACCTCGACTGGATTGCATATTTGTGAAGGACACCAGGGTTTGAAGTTCTCTCTGAATCTCTCTTTACCATTCTTCACTCTTTTAGACACTTATGAGTGCAACACCATGAATGCATTCATAGCAGGACTTTAATGAAGCTTGTGTCCTAATATGAGTGATTATCGCTTTTCTGTGAAAGCGGGTTTACCCCACGTCTGAGGGTAGCCATAGCTATAAGACATTTTGATCAGAAAAAGAAAGGGAAAGAAAAGAGCTAAAACACTTTGGTCTTTACAAAGCAACATCTGTTTATGGCCCAGAAATACATACCATAGTAACCAAACTAGATTTTCAAGTAATGTAGTTCATGTTGATTGGTCAAATGTGGTAGTCGGAGAGGCTAGCTACAGAACCCTATCCTTCAGATCGTTTTTTTATGGTTTGTAACAAAAACATTTACGCTTGTTAGCATTAGCTTTGGTGAGTACTGTGTAATATAACTGACACATGCAATGGCAAAAGCAAATACGACTGAAACTTTAATACATGGTTGTTTTTCTTGGGTTCGCCAAAAATGTGTTCAGGTTTACCCTAGAAATTTTTTTATTTGAAATGAGGGATTGTTTGGTCTTGAGAAGAATCATTTTGAATTCTAAATTACAGACCTTAATTTAGGCATTTGCTTGTGATGAAGTAGGAATGCATCGATGGTTTTCCCTTTCCTTATGCACATGATGTGCTTATACTGGTGGCCAGACCTGTATCTATACATAGACTATGGTGTAGAGCATCTCACGCACACCGCCTGGATAAGGGGTGCCCGGGGCGCACCCTGCTAAAAGTGTGTTCACTACAGCTGCATATAACATGTTACATCGTCACTGAACATTGAACCGTACACGCGTTGAGGCGCCAGGAGCACCAGGGCAACCCCTGGTATGCAAACAAAATATATTCTTGACTACTCCTCCCCCGACAGCACCACCCTGCAAAATGCCACATCAGACAGCTCCTGATAGTGTAGAGTCATGAGCAGCAGTGGTGTGATGACACACCAGCTGGGACCAAAACACTGCTACTGCTTATTGGACATTTTCCCTAAAATCCAATGCCCCATTATTGGCTGTGCCCTAGAAAGAATTGGGCCCCGGGGCATCAGTCTGATTGATCAGAGTGCCGGTGCAGATGGCAGATGCAGACTGAGCGAGGCTGCCATAACCATGTTTTACTGGTCAGTGCCACAGCAGATGACTCCGACTTCACTCCTCTTTTTCCTCTGTCAGCTGTCCAGGAATCATGAAGTGTTTCTCAGTGTGGGTATGCTATGAGAGAAATAGCCATTCCTGAAATAGCACGGTTTAATATACAATGTGCAGACAGCAGCTGATTTCTAATGCAGTTGTTAGTGTGCTATTTTTTGACAGCAAGCTTCAGGGAAGGTAATTAAAGTAATCTGCATTTACGCTGAGAAGCAGCAAAGCATTTGATGGGAATTCTTTGTTGCTGATTAAACGCTTGCTCTTCAAGACAGCTCATTTGCATCTTAATTTGTTGGGTATTTTTGGCATTAAAGCCCAACCTGTGATTGTTAACTATAACGTTGTTGTTTTTTAAATAACAGAGCACACCATAGGATCAGTGACATTAGACGCCACATGAAGAAAACACTTACAGTAATGGTGTGTTTTATTATGTTTTTTAAAGCACCACATATTGCATAGATACTACCGGTGTGTATATTTATATTTACTCTACTTTAGGCTTTCTTTTAGCCTTCAACAACCAAGATAAATATTGGCTTTCCAGGCGCTTAATGTTCAACTTCTCTTTATTAAGCTAGCTTTTAACTTTGCCTTTTTGTTGCTAGGAATGAAGTATACACCAGGAACATTCTAGCTTTTTTACTATAAACAAATGCCTCTTGTTTCTGGAAACTAAATAGAGAAGATCAATGTGTTTACAACCAAAACAATGACAACAAATAGGATTAAAGCTCTATAGAAAAGCAGGGTAATGGTTCCCCGTGGATGCACCACTACGAGTGACACCTTCCACATTACCCACAGTCATTTGATCCATTGTTAATTAATAAATATTGATTAGTGCAGCTTCAAAGTCACATTCTGAACTTGTGTTGTCAGTGACTTTGATGGCAGTCCCTGGTGTCGGTCATATAACAGCCTAAACAGTTTCTAGGCATCTCTGGCATTCCAACATGTGTTCCCTAAACTTGCTCTTGGAATTCCCATTTGTTCCCCCGACCATCATGTCAAGATAGTATGTGGAAACGAGGACTCCGCTTTGAAATACACAGAAAGAAGTGATGAATGTGTGCACGCTATAAAAGGACTGCCCTCACAAAGTGGAGGGCTCTCGTTGTGCTCTCATGACTATAAATGTAACGTCTGGATAATAAGAGAATCTTCATTCTTTGCTGTTGTGTCTTGTGCCAATATATCGCTTCAGCCTTTAAAATACTTCATTTGTTTTGACTTTACCGGGAACAGTCTAGCCATCATGGATCCAAAGTTCTGTGCTCTACACAAATATAAAAATGACTATTCAAAAGTATTTCACAGTGTTTTTGGACAGAGGACAATTAATGTTCTTTTGGCTACAGCTATCGTTAGATTGACAGGACTCCTTTCTGCGGATTGATATGACTGCACATAGCCCTTTATCAGTGTCCCTAGCAACGTTATTGGAAAAAAGCAGAGTACTGAATTTACAAATTGACAAATCAGAATCAAGTACTAAACTAAGTCATGTAATGATGTGTTATTTTTACAATGCCTGTATTGTGATTACATTCAGACTATTATAACTTTCAAACCTTCTGTAATGTCACAGTGACAATTTAATTGGTCCTGAAGTAATTGGAGTTCTTATTAAAGCAAACATCTAATCCCTTGCCTCTTTCTGCTCACACTAGGATCCACTCATGTGGGGGATCCTCGAGCCACGTCGAACCCCAGCTCGCCCCCCTCCTCCCCCCCACACCCCCCCAGCGCCCTGGGCAGCGGCAGCTCTGATCCGGTGCTGAGCGGAGGCCTGAATGGAGTCCTGAGCTTGGCCGCGTACTGCAGCTCAGCAGGGGGTAGGTACACGTGCATAGGGAGATACTGTCTGCTCCAGGAGCTGAGAATCAATCACCCCACAGGGGACTTAGTGGAAGTTATGATGGGATAGTGGGCAGATGTCTTTCTGCAGTAGTTAGGAACAATGGCCAATGCTGTATTCTCCCACTGCGGCTGCAGCGGCAGCTGGATGTAGAAGAATGCTTGGCACGTGCCCTTATCTCACATGTTATATAAATGGAATTGATGTATTTTTTACATGGTACACGACATAAACCTAGTACCAACACAATTGTAACTTTTCAATTATTTATTAATTGAGCTGGATTCTGGTTAACCAATTTCTTATGAGGTGTTTTGCCTCTTAAATGTACTTGAAGTGTGCTGCAATGGCCTGGAAATTATGTTGCCAAGATGGATGCATCACTGGTAAAGGCTAGTTGCAAGTGGACATGTTAGCTTTTATAATGGACATACAGTAGCTTGGTCTCAACTAAATTATTAATAATATCAACAAAGCATAATAGAAGATACATTTTGATGGTGTCTCGCTCTATGTCCAATTCAAATACATATAAGTTGTCTCATTGGTTCTGGTTTTTCGAACCACAAAACTTGTTTTTTGCCACCATTTCAACACAGCTGTGTAAAATAGCAGTATACCTTGTCCAGTTTCAATTGATTTGGCTGCAGTACTTTGACCATTTCCCTTATATAATACTTTATTTCAATTTCACCACAGGAACAACCCCAAACTCACCAGTGAGCCTCCTCAAGTCACCGATATTCCCATCAGGCCGTGGGCCGTGGTCCGATGAGTGCTCCATCTGTTACGAGAACACGGTGGACACGGTTATCTACGCCTGTGGGCACATGTGTCTGTGCTACAGCTGCGGCATCAAACTCAAGAAGATGTCCAACGCCTGCTGTCCCATCTGCAGGAGGCAGATCAAAGACATTATCAAGACCTACCGGAGCACGTAGGACACACCGGCTGACAGTCTGCAGACGGACGGCTGACAGTGGGCCGGCCTCTTGGAATCAAACAGCAAAATCAGGGGAAGACATTTCTAAGTTCAGGGAAAAATAACTCTGGTACTTACATTTGGTATTTTCATGCAATTGGTTTACTCCCATTACCTTTTCCGAGGGGGTTCTGCCTGGCTGGGAGGGTCTCTGGAAGGTTCCACTGAGAACTTGATAGAAGTGTTTGCCCTCTCCTTGGCTCTGAAGACTTTTACGGAGAGGGAAAAAGTGAAACAATTCCAAAATGATTTCATTTGATGAGCCATGTTGTGAGATTTAGGGACTGTCACCCATCTGCACCAAAGCTAACGAGTTACTTCAGGGCCGAATGTCTCAATAATAGTCTTCTTAGAGGTGTCTCTGACCGACAGGTAATCATCTCAGAATGTCACAACTTGTGTCTGTGTGTTACTGAGCATCGGAGAGGATTAGTAAGCCTGGCATCGTGATTATAAAGTGATGGGTTTCTGTAATTGTCGTGGTGATTATCAGTAGGTGATGTGCTTAGAGATGAAAGGCAGTGCTGAGCAAATTAAGTAGGATTGTAACACCTCTTGTACTCGTATAATCTAATGTACCTTTATGGTAGTGCTATTGCAAATGTCGGTGGTAGCTATGTTGTTGTGCTAGCTGTGATAGCGGCTTGCTCTGCAATGTGGTATGTTGCACTGAAATCAGCCTCTCAGAAATGCCCCGCTATAGACGGAGAGGATAAAGACATTCAATCTACAAACCTACATCCAGGAGACTCAGCAGCTCCGACTCTTTAAAAGGAAACAGGAAGTGGAAACAAGGTGGAAAATAAATTTGGATTCTCCTCAGGGCCAGATATATTTTTTAAGAAGATGTGGACTATTTCCCAAACTTCACCTACAACCATGCCTGATACACTGTGAGCGTTAATGACGAATTAACAGGTCCTTTAGCTCCCATAACAACACATGAAGTCAAAGGATTGTTGCCATGGTATCAGCAGCCACCACAGATACAACACAGCCTCCTGCCTTAATAAACCAGAGAAGGTTCATTTGTTAGCGGCAGATGTATCATATTCTGTGATTGCTGCCGTTTTACAAAACCCTCGAAACGTTACCAAATAATGTTCGGCACAAACTGTCATAAAACTCAGAGGAACATAAAAGCACACACATTTAGAAATATTTTTGTAATATACTTTCCAATACTTCATATTAACGTTTAATACTCTTTGTGACAGGCCTTTCACCAGCAGCATAGAACCTTTATATAAATCAGTTCAGGGGCAGAGTTTAAAAAAAGAAATTGAATATTTTAAATATGTATATGATTCCAAACCCCCGAATATCAGTAAAAATATGTTGATACACACCCCAAAAAGGTAAAATACAGCATTTCAGCAGTAAGCCATAGCTTATTACAGGACACCACTGGAGCTATGAGGCTGTTTTTAATGACATTTGTAGATATTCAACAAATGGGGCTCAAACCTTTGCTGCTATGGTGTTTGCCAGCTGTCCCTTCTGGACTGACGGTGATGTTTCACACGTCCCGCCTCCCACATACAGTTTGATTACGCTACTGCTTGAAGTGTTAATTCACAATTGAATGTTAACTTATGTATTTAGAGAGATAAATATGCTTGTGCTTGAATTGAAAAAAACAAACAAAGAAAACAAGTTTTGTCTGTTTTTCTTTTAAAGTTTTCTTTTTGATTGATAATCATGATTCTAATATTCTGTTCATCCTAAACATTTAGAATATAAATATATTCTTGTTTTCTTATTGTGACAATATAGAGAGTTTCTTGTACTGTGCAGCAATAAGATAAATTGCAGTACACAATCAGACGATCATTGCTATGGGGTGCAAGATATAAAAGCTCTTGAATTTAGTTATTTTTTGTAATGTTATCCCCTTTCTGTATTTATATCTCTTATTATTATATGTTCTGAAAGCCATCACTGTATGGCGAAGATAAATGTCACTTTATAAAGCTACTGATTGTAATCTTGTAAATGTTTAGGCCAGCGTTGCTCTCCCAGACTCAACCATGGCATGTTTTACTTTACACACTCAGACCAAATGTAATAATTCATTTTTATTATATACATTATACAAATTTTGCAAAATCTGAATTAATTTAGGACTTTTAATAAGTGATATCAATTCTTTACAAAACACAAATTCAAAGTGAAATTATTTGGCTAAAGATTTTCCTCAGTACATAATTAAATACATGCCTTTTAATGAAAGGTATTATTATTTCATATAATTGTTTTGCATCCAGGATATACCACATGCTCCTTGAATGTTATTGATCCTGTATTATACTATTTATTTGTCCATGTGTGGACTTATTCCTCCATATTTGCTTCTCCTGTGTGTTTGCTTTCTTTACATTGCCACCACAAGGAGATGAATCCTCCGTCAGCGCAGTCAGAGATCCTTTCTGTAGACCTTAGAACTTTGTGTCATGCATGAGTAATCTGTGTGGACATCGGGACCAACAGTAGACGAGCATCAGAGCGGGAACGCTTAGTTAGTGTTCATGTAGACTGTGGCAGCAAATACTATATATATTGTATACTGTATATGGCCATTGTTGTGACACAGCAAAACTTTATTTTCTTTATTTTTCATTAGAAACAACAAGTGTTTGTTTGTGAACTCTCTTCAGTGCGAGTCGGATGATTGTGGTTAATAAACTTTCCAAATGTGATATAAAATGGTTTGTTTCATGATTGAAAAGAAACATTTACACGGATGATATTAAATTATCTTTACGTGAAAGGGGAATGTCCTTTTTTCAATCTAGACTTAGCTTGTTAGCAAGTTAATTGTATTTACAAACTCCTGAGAAAAAACATCTAGCTCTTCAGCTGCTAAGTGTATCCTACTGTACAGTATGTTCATTAGCTTGTTGCTAGCTGTGTCTGTTAGCAGCTTAGTGGCTATATCAGACCTGGGGCTTCATTTATAAACGGTGCTTATACGCTCAAAAGATGGCGTACGCCAGTTTCTACGCAATGTTTGCAATTTATAAAAAACAAACTTGACGGGAAAATGTGCGGTCCTCCACGCAAACTCTGACCCATGCGTACGCACTAACAACGGGAGAGACGAGAAACTGCGACACCGTTGGCAGAAGGAAGAATGGAGAGAAATATGTGGAAATAATATCATAAATAGAATGTTACCTCTCATTTATCATATATGAAGAATACATTTTCACACATTGATTAAAGCCAAACTTAAAATGATTTAACAATCGCCTGTTTGAGACTCCTCAGTGCACACAAACACATAACTTGGAGAAATAAATAAATACGGAAATGTTATTGATCACCCCTCGATTATGTTCTCTTGTTAAGAAATGTATTCTCATAAATGATGCGGTAAACAGAAGGACAGAATTACTTTAAACTGACGCCGTTTTGCTTCTCTATAGGTTGTATAGATACGAGCATAACTATTGTAGAGCCGATGAAAGGGAGTCAGAGGCGGTGTATTCAGAATGGACTTCCACACTTTATTATCCGTTAATCAAGACACGGTAAGTACCTGTGCTGCTCTGTATGACAAGTTAGCATGAATGACAACAAACCCCGGTACCCTCACTAACGGGTCCGGGTTGCAACACACACTAATCACACGGTGAATTATGTACTAATAATGTGTCACCACCAGTGTTGGGGAAGTTACTTTTAAAAAGTAGTGTTTGCTCGTTACTCGTTACTTCTTTAAAAAAGTAATCCCTTACGTTACTTAGTTACCCTCCATTTTTACGTTACTCGTTACTTTTACGTTACTTTTATGTTGCTCGACTTTGGGCAGAACCCCATCTCTGTTCCTAAATGTGTAGGCTTACATAAAGTTCTACTATGGAGGACATAACAGATATTTCTTTTGTGCTCTTTATTATTAAAAAATGCCACAGAGCACTTAACAAAACATTGGGCTATAGGCGTCAACACCACCACTAAACAATAATATCAAACAATATCAATATAAAATCATAATCATTAAGGGTTACGGGCTAGCCCCAAAATAGGTGCAAAGCTAGTGCAAATCATATCAATAGGCTACTAAATAGGCTTGGACTCGAAATATCATAATTTCCCCGGGGATTTTGAGCTACTAGCTTCATGCTAGCATGTTTTCCTTTCAAATGCTTGGTGAGGTTGGCAGTTGAGTTAACGGCAGTGGACACAAGTTTCTGGCCAGGGCACAATGTACACCTTACACTCACATTTTTCCCCTTAGTTTCAACAAGTTCGAAGTAATGGGAATACCTCCATCCCTCGAATGTTAGCGTTGGCTGCGCCTGCTTCTCGCTTGCCATCACTGCTTGCCATCACTGCTCTTCAGTCTTCATGCCACCACCAGCGGCCAGCCTCTATCACGTACAGTGTGGAATGAGAGCTCGTGTCTAATGCGTAAGCACACAGCTGAGTAGGCAGTGTCACTATCACTCGTCCCTGGGAAAAGTAACATTGCGGCGAATTGAAGAAGAAACTACATTACCAAATTTTCCGTAGTAGCGCGTTAGACTACTTTTTACCCGGCAAAAGTAACGCGTTACACCCAACACTGGTCACCACACAAGCCCCCCCAGAATTCACCCGTAAATAAAGTCAGCTTGGCGGGGAGGAACGACAGGTCGACCCCCACGACTCCTGAGCACGGGAGCTGGAAAAATGACCTCTGCCCGTGCGGCCTCCGGAAGAGGCGAGACCGGAACAACAAGTCTCAATTCCGTGACAGGGATCAAGGCCGGGGGGCGCCCCCGTCGCGGAGGTCGTGCCAGCACCACCGGCTGGCCCAAATACAAATGGGCCGCCTTCACCCGGTCCACATAGACGTGCTTGGCCTTACCACCCAGGTCGACCACAAGGTGTTTATTCCCGTGCTCCAAAACTCAGAAAGGTCCATCGTAAGGAGGCCGTAGAGGAGGCCGTAGAGGACCCCTGCGCGCATCGTGCCGTATGAAGACATGCTCTGCCGAGCGGAGATCTGCGGGTACCCGGGACACCTGAGTACTATGTTGGGCAGTGGGAACCGGAGCAAAAGCCAGTGGAACACTGCAGATCTTCCTTGGGCGCGGTCCGCAGGCCCAGCATTACCCAAGGCAGCTTGTCGACCCAATTTCCGTCCTTCAGGCCGGCTCTGAGTGCTGCCTTCATGGAGCGATGGAAACGTTCACAGAGGCTGTAAGCCTGAGGGTGATAAGCGGTTGTCCTGTGAAGCTTAACCCCCAGACCACACGCCACGGCGTTCCAGAGCTCAGACGTGAACTGCGAACCCCAGAGCTCAGACCGGAACTGCGAACCCCGGTCAGAGGAAATATCCGACGGGGTGCCAAACCGACACACCCACGTCGCAATGAAAGCCCGGGTTATGTCAGCCACCGACGTCGACACGAGAGGAACCGCCTCCAGCCAACGGGTCGTCCTGTCCACCATGGTGAGGAGGTAGGAAAAACCCTGAGAGGAGGGCAATGGACCCACTAGGTCCTCTCCGGCACCATGAAACGTTCCAAAGGGGCTTTCGTGTGGTGATGCACCTTAGCACGCTGACAAGCCACGCACTCACTAGCCCAAGTCCTCACGTCCTTTTTTAGTCCCTGCCAGACGAACTTCGCGGCCACCAAGCGCACCGAAGGTTTACCGCCGGGGTGAGACAGGTCGTGCACCGCCTCGAAAACAGATCGCCTCCAACTGGCGGGAACGACCGGCCGCGACAGGCCTGTGGAGACGTCGCACAGGAGAGTAACGCCTGTGTCACCAAAAACCACGTCTTCCAAGCGCAGCCCCAAACTGTCCTCCTTCAGGGCCTGTACGCCGGGGTCCGTGACCTGGTCCGCCGCCATGCGGGTATAGTCCAGGCCCAACTGGACGGCCCCGATGACGACCCTGGAGAGGCAATCTGCGACCAGGTTCGATTTACCAGCCACGTGCTTAATGTCTGTGGTGAACTCCGAGATGTAAGACAGCTGCCGCTGCTGATGTGCAGACCAAGGCTCTGCCACTTTTGACATGGCAAACGTGAGCAGCTTGTGGTCGATAAACGCCGTAAATTCACGGCCTTCCAGCAAAAAACGGAAGTGCCGCACGGCCAGCCAGAGTCCAAGGAGCTCTCGGTCAAAGGCGCTGTACCTGCGTTCCCTGGGCGTCAGCTGACGGCTGAAAAAGGCAAGTGGCTACCAAGCGCCCTTCACCCACTGCTCGTGCACCGCACCAACGGCATAGTCCGATGCGTCTGTGGTAATGGAGATGGGAGCCGTGGATGACGGGTGCGCCAACAGGGCCGCCTGAGCCAACGCGGTCTTGACCTCCGTAAAAGCAAACTCAGCTTCCGCCGTCCAGTCGATCGCCTGGATGGGGGTCGTACCCTTCAAAACCTCATACAGCGGCCGCATAATGTGTGCGGCCCGGGCGCTGAAACGGTGGTAGAAAGCACCATCCCCAGGAACTCACAGAGCGACCGGGCTGTGAGCGGGCGAGGAAAAGTCGCAACAGCCTCAACCTTTGCCGGCAGGGGTGCTGCACCGCCTTTGGTGACGCGGTGTCCGAGGAAGTCAATGTCAAACACTCCGAACTGGCACTTTGCAGGATTGATTATCAACCCGTGTTGGCTGAGCCTCGTGAAAAGGGCTTGGAGGTGTGACAGGTGCTCTTCCACCGAAGCGCTGGCGACGAGTATGTCGTCCAGGTAGACGAACACAAACGGCAGGTCCCGTAGCACCAAATCCATCAGGCGCTGGAACGTTTGAGCGGCGTTCTTGAGCCCAAAAGGCATCCGCAGGAACTCGAAAAGTCCAAACGGCGTTATCACTGCCATCTTGGGAACGTCCAGGGGATGTATGGGCACCTGGTGGTATCCGCGCACAAGGTCCACTTTAGAAAACACCAGCATACCGGCCAGATGTGCTGAAAAATCTTGAATGTGCGGCACCGGCTAGCGGTCATGACTCCACTCCGGAGGGATTCCCCGATCATTTCTTACAGTTTCTCATCAAGGGGGTGTCTCCTGTCCCCGGTACAAACACACTGCCTGAGAAAGGCTATGTGTATTTTCTTTGTCATTACCCTTTTTCGGACCACTTATTTATATATTTTGGTGACAATCCTGTTATGTATGTGTCACATCAGGTGTGACTGTGCCTTTAAGATGGCACCGGGAGTTTGGGGATGTGTGAACCAGATAGTTAGTTGTTGTTGTGTTGTCATGGCAGCGTGTCCAATAACGTGTTCAATAAACGGTCAACCTAAATGTCGTAGTCCATAGTCTTATATATACAACAGATCCGACCTCCATGCTGCTACTCTGGTTCAAACTGCATCCACCAAACAATATGATTTATCTCGACCGTAGGATGTGCCGTACGCAAGTCCTGTGCCGGTACGCAGTCTTTTATGAATCGGAAAATGGCTGTGCGTATTTATTTGCTTTGTCCTACGTAAGCAACCTTCCCACGTCAATCCTACGCAAGGCTTTATAAATGAGGCCCTTGCTCACTAGAAACTACTGCCAGCTGCATCTGGAAACATGATTTACGATGTTTAATACTTTATTTAAACAGGTAGTCTCATTGAGATTGGAATCTCTTTTTTCAAGAGGGACTTGTGTACCAACAAAATAAACATATACAGTTGAGCATAGACAGACTGACAGATGATTCAAGAAAAGCCTTTACAAGTGTGATACTTTACTACAAGCGTTTATG